ATCCATACACCATTAATTCAGATTGGTGAAATCTGTGTCAGGGGATATTTATAGTCTGTCAAAAATGAAAGTGACACACCCATCTTCTCTTTGACCTCGATGTTCATGAGTCATAGATGTCAAATCCCAAAGAATGTTGCTGTTAGCTATTGAAATGTTGTACATTATGAAAATATATAAAACAGTGCAAACTAGCAATTTGAGGACATGACTATTGACTTTAATAAAAGGCATACCTTACTATTTTATGACAAACCTAACATTTTTGGATAAACCATAAGCGATAATGAAAATAATCATGTTTGCAGCAGCTCCTCAGTAACAAATTATTTTGTAATGATTGTTACTTTCTTTGGTAAATGATATTTGTTGTCAGATGTTTTTCATATTATTGTTGTTTTGTCTCATATTCAGCATCTATAAAAATGTGTGTACTTTTTTCAAACAGCCGAGTGTGACTTGTCCCTGGAATCAGTGTTTGGGAGTAACTAGCTCCATGTGAATGTGACTGAAATCAGTTATTACTGAGCATAAAATGTGTAATTAAATCACACTACTGGTAAAAATGTTGGTGATTACAAAGGGGTTACATCCAGATTAGGCCGTGCAGGAATGCCTTCTTTTGGCATAGTCTTATTTTTGGCAATTTTTCAGCTTTATTGCCCAGTTTAAAACATCTGTTAGAAAAGAACAAGAGTAACAAAATGCAATAAGGTACATTACTGTGATGAAGTAACTGACCGTTGCTTATTACATTTTTTACCTGTAGTGTGTAGCCTGTTACATTTCACAAGTAACCTACCCAACACTGCCCGCAATAAAGACTTAACATTATTTTTGATATTTCCACCTGCGGAAATATGAGTTTTATTTCTGGAAATGAATAAAAACTGCACATCAGTGAAAGGGCAACACCTCCCTTTCTGAAACAATTAGAGTTTTTAGGAGTGAGGCCGACACTTCTTCTATCACATCTCTCTCTGTCACTCTGTAATGCACACACAAACAGAGCTCGCACGTTTTGAACTACTTGAGTGAAAATGTATTTATTTGGCCATTTGTGGTTTGACTTCCACAAACTTTATTAAACTGAAAAAGAAAATCCAGTGAATTGTTTGAATGTAAAAGTTAAGTTTGTAAGAATATTCCCACAGGCTGAATGGTCAGTAAGGTAGTGTACATTCGGCAAAGACAAAGCTGACACACGAGGGTCATTTAATTTTCTTACTCTTAAACATTCTGTAAAATAAAAAGCAAACATCGATTAGAAAATAATCAGGTTTTCAACATAGCACACTGCAGAATTTGTACGCCCATCGTCACTTCTTCCCCTCTACCATAATGATGTGGTACCCAAACTTGGTCTTGACAGGGGGGTCTGTGTAGACCGGTTTATCCATGGAGCTGACAGGTAGGGCAAATGCTGCATCCTGGAAAGGTCCGACCATGGATCCTCGCGTCATCCATCCCAGATCACCCTGACATGACACAAGAAGACACATTGTATGCACCTGATAGGGATCCAAAGCCGGGACAAAGGTGAGTGTATATGAGCAACAAAGACAAAGAGTTCATTGTACTGAAAATTGAAACTGTGAAGCTTTGAAGGCAGCGAGCAACGCAGGAACCTGGAGTATTTATATTTATAGCTTCAGTTACCAGACATAATAAGGTCACACATAAGGACGTGAGATCAGTGCTTTGTTGCAAGTAATGACTCCAGCGAGTCAAATATTTACAGTGTCCCTGAGTAACAGCCTCATCCCCACTGACACTTCCCAGTATCTGAGAGTACACCAGTGTAGGTGTGGTGCTGGCGTGCAGTTATGAATAAGCAGGGGATGTACATAGTTGGTGAAATATAGCACATATGCTCAGCCAACTTTCTGTAATGAGTAAACGGGAAGTAAAACACTATTTTTCATCATGCTGGAATTCATTAACCATTAAGACTCGTTATGAGTTTTAGGCCTGTTCAATATATTGTTTATTGTACATCATCTCATCTATTTGTTTTTATCATGGAAATTATTGATATTAAAAATACAAATTAAACTTTTGTTAGCCTGCTAGAATAATAATTAAACCTTCTTTCTGCACACTAGATACAATTTGCTGCTATAAAAATTACTAAAGTGAGATAAGCAGACTGAAAACTTTATCTTATTAGAAAAAATAAATAAAGTTAATACAGACAAATAAAGTTTTCTTTTGGGGACATTGTGAACAGTTGCAATACTCAGTATATCGAAGCACATTTAAAACGCAATAATAATGTATCGTGACTTAAGTAAGTTTGTGATAAAATGTTATTGCAAGGCCTTTATTGATTCCCACCGCCAATTTTCTGTCTTGAAATGTATCCTTCAAAAAAGGCAGTGCTTTAATTTTAATGCAGCTTTTCCCTATCCAGAATGAAGACATAATTATGGGATTTGCTGCCATAAACAGACCCTATTTATATGACCGTATATGTACAAATATTATTGTGTTCTTTGGATTTTTCCAGTTAAACTGACTTTGCAACAATGACATTATCCACACCGCATACCATGGGATATGACAAATGCTGACTTAGTAACTTAGTTGTGACAAATGTTTCATTTCTAAATGAGTCATGATAAACAAGAGCCAAAAAAAAAAGCTGCAGAACAGATTTGTGTGCGTGTTCTTACTCCTTGTCTCGCTTTGTCTTCACTGTATTGTGACGCTACTTCACTGAAACGGACTCCAGCCTTCAGTTTCTCCATTGCCTCCATGCATTTTCCATGTTTTTCACAGAGGATGTGTCGAACCTGGGGGAGAGGACAGATCATAAAAGGCACTGTTAGACTTCCAGGAATAAATCGTGATTAAAATTCAACCTTGAACAACTTAAAATCACTGTAGACACTGTGCTTAGTAAACATAAACAGAGCATCCCAGTGGTAGATCGTGTATACAGCTTATGATGTACGTCACAAAGTTCCTAAACTTCTCCAAAGCTCATATTCATGCAGCCAAATCGTATTTTCCCAGCAATAGCCTTGAGATAAAACAAGACGCTTGAGGTATTTTCTGAGAATTAACTGTAGCTCTGAAAGTTACAAAGTGCTTTACATGTCAATAATCAAAACAGACTAGATATGAAAAAGACAACTTTTAAAAGAACTGATAAAAACAATTTAGTGTATAAAAACAGAAGAAATAAAAGACAGTCTAAATGAATTTAAACTCAAGTATAATTAGAAAAGGCTCTCTGATAAAAGTATGTTTTAAAAAGGGATTTGGAAGAGATCACTGACTCTGCCAACCTAATTTCCTCGGGCAGACTGTTCCAGAGCCTCAGGGCCCTGACAGCCAACGCTCTGTCATATTTCCTTTTCAGCCGAGCCTCTGCAACAGACAAACGACCGAACATCTGCCTGAGGACTGCAAAGTATGGCACTGAGAGGTCGGAAATACAGCTGGTAGATAGACCATGAAGAGCTTTAAAAGTAGTCAGTAAAACCTTACTAAAACATAGTGTAAGGCAGTGTTAATAGGCTAAAGCTGGAGTGATGTGATCACGTCTTTTGGTTCTGGGTAAAAGCCTGGCAGCTGAATTCTGTACAGTCTGGAGTCGATTCATACAGTTTTGATTCAGGCAAGCCAAGACGCTGTTGCATTGTTGTATTTTGAAGACTATAAACATATGATTGCACAAGCTTTGTGACATGGTGATTAAAACTGAAATTACTGTCAAACCCGACCCCAAGAAAGACGGTGACTGTGAAGATATCTGCTGACAAAGATGGAAAATCTCTAATATTAAATAATTTCAAAGGTGCAACAGGTTGTCTCTTGACTTTTTTAGATTACAGAAATTTGTACATGGTTCTTTGATTTACCTCCTATTCTATTTTTTAATCAGGCATGCCCAAGTGCAAAATCTGGTCCCCACTCTAAAGAAAAAACTTAACATTTGAGGTATCATTTCCTCCCAGCCAGCTCATCCAAAAGTGGCTTTGAGGTGGGAGGAAGAGTCATCGTTTGATAAAAAAAAAATCCCCTGTTGTGTCACATTTGACTTTTCCAGTGCAGCTAAGTGTAATAAATGTTACCTTCACAGCAGTGCCTCCCTTTGGTGCTTTCTCTTTCTTGTCAGCGTCTGCACTTCCTGAGGCTGCTCCTACACAGTTACGAGATTAAACACCAATGAAAGACCGTCACATACAACAACACTGTCGCAAACGATATGACAATGTTAAATCTTGTGAACCACATAACATTTATAGCTAGTGTACTTTAGTTCTTTGCCACCAGCTAGCTAGTTTATGTGGCTGACTTTAAGCTAACAGTTCATATCACGTCGTTAACAACAGACAGCTGATGGACCACTGACCTTTACCACCCTTACCACCTTTTCCCTTAGGTGGCATTTTAGATTAATGTTTGCTAAAATTTAAGAAATTACGAAAAAACACAGTCTGTAATAGCACGCGCTCATGCTATGTTGTGATAGACCTGCGCAGAAACCTGCGCCGGCTGACAGCGCAAGTGTTTCTTCTTCTTCGGCTACTTTTTGGTAGACTGCAGCCTCTCAATGGCCACACCGCCACCCAGTGTCATATATCAGAGCGTGCAGTCTCAGATAATACAGTCATAGTGCAATTCATACAGTGATAGAGCTGCAAAGATAAATCGATAAGATGTCATTGCCGACTATTTCATTAATAACTAACTAACTTTATCGTTACTGAAAAAAAAACAATTCATTATTATTATTCCTCCTATCCGATTTTAGGGCGTCACAGCGAGGTGGTTACTATGGCAACGAAACTGAACACAGACGCTTGGTGAGGTATGTTGACATTGACAGCGGTGCTGCTCGCCTCGTCACTGTTTTTACTGTTTTTATTAACCTTTCCTGATATGAGCCAGCACTGTGAACTCGGTATAAAGTCATCTTGAGCATCTTGAGTGGAGTGGGTGGATTCAAAGGTCAGGACCCAAGCATTAAAAAAAGCTCCAGACAAAACATGGAGGAGTATGAGACGGTGTTGTGTTTGGGCAGGGGAGGATCGGCGGAAGTGTTCCTGATGAGGCACGTGGAGCAGAAGAGCCTGCACGCGGTGAAGAGGATAAAAGTAGAGGATACAAGGAGAGCAAAAACACAAAGGGCAATTCTCCAAGAGGCTGAGATCATTAGGAGGCTGGAGCACCCTCACATAGTTAAATGCAGCGATGCCTTTGTGAACTCTGATGGATTCATTTACATTGTGATGAACTACTGCGATGGTGGGACATTAGATGACAAAGTGAAAGAGAGGAAACCAGAGGAGTTTTTCACAGAGGATACAGTGCTGGGGTGGTTTGCACAGGTCGCTATGGCTTTACATTATATACACACAGCTAAGGTACTACACAGGGACATCAAAACATCCAATGTACTGCTGACAAAGCAAGGCATGGTGAAGTTAGGTGACTTTGGGATATCCAGAGTGATGACCAACACAGCTGACATGGCCTCCACATGTGTTGGGACACCCAGCTACCTCAGTCCAGAGCTGTGCCAGGACGTCCCATACAGCTCCAAGTCTGATATCTGGGCTCTTGGCTGTCTGCTGTATGAGGTATGTGCCCTCAGACCTCCGTTTGCAGCCACAAACCTCCTGAGTCTGTTCTACAAGATCACCAAAGGAGAGTATGATCCCGTGCCCAACATCTACTCCGACAGCATCTCCTCTTTGATCCAGAGCATGCTCTGCCTCAACCCAGAAAACAGGCCAACAGCTGCCTGTGTACTCAACAGTGCTAATGTGCAACATCACCTGGAGTCTATCAAGCACACAGAGACTGGCTGGGTTAATGTGTCTGTATCTGAAGGGAAGAGCTGTGACAATAATGTAGAAGGGCAAAACACAGACACCACACTACAGCCAGATGTTCTCAGTCAGTCCCACCTCTGGGAGGAAAAAGAGCACAACACGGAGGCCAGTTCCAGTGATTTGGAGGACGAACATCATGTGAGTGATAGAGGACAAAGCCACTGTGACTGCCTCTATCCTGAGGACTTTGATGAAGATGAAAGTTTGTCCTCTCTTGAGGAGTGCAGTGAACACTTGGCGTCGCCCATAAGGAGTGATTCTGCTGAAGCTATTTGTAATGTAGAAGGTAAAGTGAAACATCTTGTTATCAGTGATAGAAGAAACAGTCAGATCCTTTGTAAAAGTACTATTAACAGTGTTAAAATATTCAAACCTGTCATTCAAAATCCTCAATAGAGCAGCAAAAGGCCCCATTGAGCCTGCATGCTCTCCTTGTGTCAGCATGGGCCCTCTCCGGGTACTCCAGCTTAACCCCACAGTCCAAAGACATGCAGGTTAGGTTAACTGGTGACTCTAAAAAAGGCCGTAGGTGTGAATGTGAGCGTGAATGGTTGTCTCTATAGCCCCATTTCCACTGAGCAGTACAGTACGGTTCAGTTCAGTTAAAGCCTCAGTGTGTAAAAATGGTGAGTAACAGTGACATCAGCGGTCAAATTCTAGATTGCAGCGCTCACTCACTCACTCCTCCCGTCGGGTAAGTGACAGTGGCCTCATAGGACAAAAAGCCTTACGCAGACAGCAGAGTTTTTCGAGTTTTTCAGGAGTATCTAGCGACGAGGTGAATATTTATTTAGGAATCTAAACCATGTTACAATATGTTATAGCTTACCAGTGAGATATAGGTTATCTGTGAGATATATGTTAAGAGTGTTTTATTTCTAATTGTTTTGGTAAAAGGAGCATTAGCACAGTAATGCTAAAATAACATGTTTTATGTGATAGTCACGGCACAGTGCGGCAAATATAGGTTGGTACAATTATAATATATGCGTTTCCGGAGTGTTCTTCCACAGGACACAGGGAGAGGAGGAAGAGGGAGAGGATGAGGAAGAGGGAGAGGAAGAGGAGGAAGACCAGGGAGAGGAAGGGGGCGTAGGGGTAGAAGCGGTGCAGTAACGGCCAGGCGAAGAGGTGTGTCTCGGCTACCCAGAGGGAAGAGGAGGAGGAGAGGATGGCAGCCTTCACAGCAGCGCGAGATGAATCAACAGATTAGGCTGTAGGCTAGGCTAACCATTTAGCTGTAGCTCTGGGATAACAGTAGTCAAGGCTAGGATAACGTTAGCACGTAAATGTAATGTTAGCCCTCACTCGAACTTAGACGAGAGGGAAAAGTAGTTGCAAGCATGAAGACAAAATGATTTTAAAATATCAGATTGAATTACCTGTCTAGCAGAAAGCAGGCGACTTCCGCATCCCTTGTGAAATCCTTCTCCCTCAAGAGTTCTTTCCACCTGGAATAAGCAACGCCAATATTCATAACATATGCAAAACATATGTGTGGTCCTCCATTTAAAGTGTGACAGAATCATAGAAGTACAAAGCAGGTTCATGCAGAAGCGCCCCGGATTGATGTTCACCTTCTCTGTCTCCAGTGACAGCAAGTTCTAGGTAAACGCGAAAGGCGAAGCGCGTATATCCCTTTTGGCCACTGTATTCAAATATGGCGATGCAAGAGGGCAGCCTCCAGCAGACCGTGCCCTGCCTGTGTATATATAGAGAAATCATTCTAAGCCTATGAGAAAGCTTCCATTTGTATGTGAATTGCATTACACTTTAGTAAATATATATTAGGTTCGGAAGTTCGGTACACTTTTTTTCCATTTCCACTGTGAAAAGTTGTGGATGGCACCAATGGAACCGTTCTGTACGGCAGCAGCTGGAGTCTGAGAAAAAAAATAACTTAATTCACTGGGCCGACTGCCGGCAACTTTTAAGGTGTCACATTAACTTGTAATATTACTCAATGTATGAGTTGATAACGTTTGTCAATCAGCACACCTTAAATGTCACTGTGATACCTTTGACTAGTACTTAAGTTTCTATATGACATATACTTTAAGTAATGACTGGATCTTCAAGCGTTTATATATAGTCATTTCGACCAGGTTATGTGAACTGCATATATTCTAAACCTCTGAGAAAAAAATTGTTGTGCAGCGTCGTTCCTGTTGGCTCTAGCAACACTAAACCCTAAACTTGCCTGAGAAGGACTAAATGCACAAACCTGCTATTTTCAAATATCCCATTAATAGACTCTCACTGCAGACTATTTTATTTTGTTCAGAAAATGTCGGCGTGGAGCCTTGTTCTGTGGACGATAAATGAGATACAGACTTTCCTCTGTGTCAGCGGTAATGAGGAAATACAGTGAATGCTGGACGGAGCAGTGAGTGACGACAGTCCCGCCCACGTGAAAAATAACTGTTTGCGGTGGAAACGCTAGGGTCTATGTACCATGTCTGAAGGGTTACTTTTGGTTCCACAGTTACCATACCGAAAGTGTTTGGTGGAAAGGGGGCTTTACCCTCTACATGGATCCTAACTGATCCTCGTGTGGACTCCAGTTCCACTAGACCCAGTTGCTTTTTCTCCTTAGTAAAAGCTGGGATCTTAAGCTCAGCATTGTACAGACCAACTGAATCTGCTACATCATATTTGAGTATGTCTGTGCTCCTGCTCTTAGGTCTTTCAGCTTTTCAATAAAAATCTCAAAGCAATCAATAATACAGGCACATTTACGAAAGAGCTGTCTAAATGTCATGGGCATTGACAGCTTAACTTAATCTGGCCAAAACACAAGTGCTTAAAGAAGTTTTGCATTCAACAATTCAATGGTGCTTCTAAATATTCCGCTGGCAGCTGGAATTGATATCTTAAAGATACAACCAATGAAAAGGGAAGGTTCATTTTCAGCTTTTCACAATAGTTAATAGCAGTTGTTGGAAGGGAGAGAGGTTTGTACCAGTTTGCAGACATGAAATCACTAACGTTAAAGCTACCTGTAACTTGGAATATGTGGGGATTCCAGTCATTGCCTCCACTTTTTTATCATCTTGTTTAAAAGCCAGTTTATCAAATGTTCCCGAATTAATAATGTCCTTCAGCCTATGGTCTTCCTCTCTGAGGTCATTACATTCCCTTTGTAATCTTTTCCTTGCATGATTTATTGTCACACTGTTGCCCATCCTCAGTAGGTGGCTCCGGTTCAGCGTCTGACAATGATGACAGTTCTAGGAGGACATTCACAGCATCTTGTTTTGCAAGACAGATGGTACCCAGTCAAGGGACGACGAGTTATCAGATTTGGTACCTCTAACGATACAAAAAGTGATTATGTCCAACATTTTTCAAGTTATAAGTTATGTGTTAAGTTAGTCAGGTGTATGCCATCATTCCTGGAGACAGGTAACACCCCCTTCCTTCCAAAAACTGCTGTTAGCTGTTAAGACTTAAAATGAACATTCCTCTTAACCAGATAACTTATCTAGCTAGTGTAACGTTAACTCGTCAAGACCACTGGAGTTGTTACGTCGGTACATGAAAACAAACCATATCAGAACGATTACATAAAGCGCTAAAACTACAATAACTAAATTGCTCAGTGTTTACTTGAGCTCACCTTTGACGAAATGTTCGCTGCAAAGACGTGTGTGCTTTGATGGTTGCCATTCTTGTCCCTCCCTGGGGACAGAGGCATGTCTAATAGCACGAATCCCCAATCTCCTCTCTGGGTTTTCTTTTTCAGACAGAACTCTGTATAAGAACAACCTTGCCTGTTCACTGCATCCGACTGAATGGCAACTGCCCGGCATTTTTCACAAAACAAACCACAAACCTGCTAAAAACTTACTGGACGTGACGTCTCGTGAAAACTATGAGTAAAACAAAGTAGTAGTGAGTGTTATTAAGCCCCATCCCCCCTTTTAAAAATGAATTTCAGGCACTGTTAATGTTAGATAGACCTTGTTCCTGATCACCAGCTCGTAGAAGTTGAAGTGAAAGTTAAACTTAGATTGTAAAATACTGATAAGTAGCTCCAGCTAACTTCTCTGACACCCTACGCTGTCTGAATTTGTGTTATTGGTTCACTCAGTTTTAAAGTGGGAATGCTCAGCCACAGTGTTGACTACTTATTTGACTCATGATGCGTCTTATGGCATTTAAAAAAAACTCAATATGAACATATTACAAAGGTTGAAACTTGATTTTCATTGGAGGGGCTCTTTAAATGTTCTATCAAGAAAGTCATTTGTGCTTTTTTTTACCAGACATCAAGAGAATAGTTTAATATTATTCTCACTGTCTGAGACTGATAAGCACCTATAAGCGCCAAAGCTATACATCTATACAGCTACAAATCAAGGTTTTAATAGGTAGTTATGTATATAAACAGGAATGATCAAAACAAAAGCCTTCAACAACTCTTTCTCTCTTACAGTATTTCCGGAGGCTCCTGATGTCTCAGACCAAGAGTATCCAGATGACTTTGAGGAAGCTGAGGTGGAAGAAGAATATGAGGATGAAGTGGCCTCGGTTCACAGTGCTGCTCTTCGGCAGCCCCGTGACGATGCGGTAGAAGAGGAGTTTCAGCTTTGTGATGCTGGAGGATTGACCATTACACTGAAAGCACTGAAGGAAAAGGGCTAAAAAACTATCAGAAACTCTTACAGTTTAATAGACCACAATGTGAAATAAAGGAACCTTAACAGCTGGAACAATGACTTATCTGACAAAGGCCTTATTTATTAAGTGTTTTCTGCACCAGGACACCAGGCCTTCAGTGTCTGAGGAACAGTATAGGGCTGAAATAAGACGTTTACTGCTAGATGACGTTGAAAACACTTGGTGGGGCTAGAGAGAATGAATGAAGTCCTGTTCAGTGTGTGCTGTTACAAATGGCTGTTAAGTGACGTGGATGTCCCTGAGTGCGGTTTCTGATTAGCGTCATAAGGACTGCTGGTAAAGATGAATAAATGAGTAAGCGGATTATTTTATAAAATACAAATAGGAAATTTGGTATTCAAGCTCTTACAGTATCTGAAATCACTTTATTTTTATTCTTCAGTAAAAAAAAAGCAACTAACTTGTAAACTACATTTTATATATCACAGTATGACTAAAAAATATAAAAGCACCAGCAGGAGGTTCAAATCTTTAATTTGGATTCATAACTTTCTTCATACCTATTACATATCCTAATGCTTCACACTGTATGTTATTCTCTCAGCTTTCTCTTTCAGTGTTCTTTGTCATGTCATCACATAACATTTGAAATAAAACAGCCTTTCAGTGCTTATCTTTGCCTCAAAATGAGATAAAAACACAGTTTTGCATGCAGCTAGGCCTTCAAAGGAAGTATGTGGTGTGTGCAGCTTGCCGCAAAGATGTTACAGTATGATAACATCTTAAATACATCTAAAATTAAAAAAAAAAGGAACCAAGAAGAAGAAGCATATGTATGAAGAGAAATACATATAAAAGCTGTATGCGCGCCTTCCTATAGAAAACACAGGTTGGCGGCAGTGCAGTCTGCCATCGACAGACCCAGATTTAGCTTTGTGATTGTACTCATCCACAGCAAGAATCAATTATACCTAATATGAAAACACCCTTATTCTGTCGTAGCGTTCTCAGTTCTGAAGCAGAGAATGCACCCATATACAGGACATTCCCCTGGGTGCTTTCCCAGTTCATTGTCTATGGAGCAGCACCAGACTTTATCCTTGATGACATCACAAATTTGAGAATTAGCGCTCTAGTTTTCGATTCAGGGAGAGTTGTTAATGTTTACCAGGAATGAGCGAGTACTTCATTATCTGTTTCTGTATATGTGTCTGTTTGAGCAACTAAATTATCTGTATCCGTATCTCTACTCGCAATGGACGGGGGTTCAAACTCAAAGTGGGTGGGACTTAAACCAGAAAAGGTAGGAACTAAACAGAAGTTGTTATTTTAAGCCTGCAATTGACCCTTTGCTAAGTCCCGCCCCCGGACATAGACTGGCCAATCATAACGTAGCATCAAGTCGGCTCAGACCAGGGTCCAATAACATCACAACTGTGCTCCATTGACCCTATTGCAATCGGTTCAGATTTTGTCAGGCTGGTTTTGTGGATTTGGAGCTAAATGTTGTGCCTGGGGCACATTGTGTATTAATGATACTCGTTACCTGGAGAGGTTGGAGGTATCTTCCCTGTTCCAAAACCAAAATCAAACCCTGAAAAGTGTAGTTAGCTATCTAGCTACTGAAGATATAGCCTACTGAATGTATACACATGCTGCTGTTGTTTTTTAATGATTATAATACTGAAAAAAAGACTGACCCTGCTGTACAGGAACCAGTGAAGGGAAGCAGGGAAACTTTGCTGATATTCAACCTGCTGTGTGGCATCGCATTGTGTGCATAAGAACAGTGACTTCCATTGGAGCTCCTGGCGGTGGCACCGGGGCGAAGCCAACCACCGTTCATCTGCACACACTGCGATGCCACACAGCTGGTTCAAAATCAGCAAAGTTTCCCTTTATATTCATTGTCTGTGGAGGTTCACTTTTACACTGTGATCTGTAGCCTATAGTTCGGCTTTAGCTTCTAACTATCTTTGTCTTTTTAACCTGTTGTTGCTGCTGAGTCAGTTTGACGTCCTGGATATATCCTTCAAACACAGACTGTAGACCCCTCTGTCTGCTTCTCTCTGGAATCACTATTTCATTTTTCCAAAACTATGATAATATTTCTTCAGGGAGTGCAGTTAGTTACAGTGTGGGCTTCATGCTTACTCCGACAACTTGTCGGACCATTAAGGGCAATTGATATGGGTTGATCAGAAGTTGCTATACTTAGTATTCATTAGAAAACAATTTACAGAACGGCCTCAGAATTGAGCTTTGAGGATTCACAAAATCTTCCCATTCATGAATCAGTGACCGCTTGTGCTCAATATAGAAGCATTGGCATTTGTTTTTTTTTCTCTATTCATTTGTTCAGGTCTAATTTTCAACTTTATGTTTTTAATGGAGCCACTTGTTGACTCAAAGAAAGACTTCAAAAGTGCAGTAAGTTATAGAGATCTCACTAACTAACTAATTTTGTGTCTTGTATCCCAGTAAGTCCCTTTTCTACTCGCATTAGTGATTAGATAATACAAATTCAGCAGAGGAAACTCAACGCGGCTCGCGGCCTTCCTTTGTCATCATTGTACGTTATCTCTACACACTGATTTGCCCTTCCCTTCATCCTTTGAAGTTCTTATCCTTAAAATGACCTTGTAGTTACATTATCGGGAATAAAATTGTTGGCCTTTAAAGCTTATTTGTTTCAGAAAAGTACTCTCCGACCCTGTACACATTCTCACCACACACACACACACACACACATACACACACGGACACACAGGTTATCACTCTCATTGTCAGCTAGTAAGCATTTACTTGCATGCACTTTGTGAGACAGCAGACTGGTAAGGTGTGAAGCAGACTTCACAAAAATTATGCTTTGCCAGGTCCTACGCTTTCAGTCACATTTCTTTACTGTACTGAGGTTAAGCTTTGAATGTGCCAAGCTCAAGGTTAAATGTCGTCTCAACGGAAATGCACAATTCAGATTTTATCAACACACGATCTCTCAAGAGTTGACCAAAGTTTTTCCGCGCGCGCATTCAGCAGTCTCAGGTTCACCCACTTGCATGACACCTACTAGCAACATGCAGGTCCCATTTTGAGAGATCAAACACACGCACCTTCATCTTTCCATTAGTGTAGACTGCACACATCACTGCAGGGGTAACTAACTTTTCCTTTTCAAAACCAAGTAAAATGTTTCCCGCATGAGCAGAAAATCCAACTGCGCACATCCTTAGTAATCGGTTTGTGATGGTGAGGTCACTGGTTCATGTTAACAAGCACCGTGCAAGCATTTGTGTTTGTCTGCAGCCATCACCATGGACTGATTACTCAACAGGGCCAAGAGGGGGGCTTTAGGGCATCAGTACCATAACATATGTAACCCTGACACTTTTAAGCAGCTGGCTCCGAGCTCTACCAGGTCTCTGAATGGACTAACAACCGTCTAACCAACACGTGTTAACTCAACATCACCATTAAAGCAAACAGCATGTACATGTTGGGTTGTGTTGATATGCAGAGGCCTAGACCGTGGATATCTTTGGAGACAATCTCCATGTATTCCTGACAACTAACAGCAAGAGGTTAAATCAAAATCCTCCATCAATTACAACCATATAACTCGAGCCCCTCTCCCATGGAGCACAACAGCAAAAGGGGCGGCCATGTTACATTCAGTTCAGTACGATAAAACATAGAAACATACCTGACAGCAAGAGGTAAAAACAAAATCCTCCGTCAATTACGACCCTATAACTCGAGCCCCTACACAAATGAAGTGACACAGGAATATGTTAGCATTAAATGTACTTAAAAACTTAGCTTACCAGCGCTAAAACACGGAAATTACTACAAGAGCAAAGTCACTTATCTCTTCCAATGGAGTACAACAGCAAAAGGGGAGAGGTAAGGCAGGAGACACCCCTTTAATAGGTGGGGTACCCCCAAAGGTGATCGTAGGGGTACAGAAACTGAGTATCAGATGTTCCACATATTGACTATGGAGGCCTAAGTGTGTCAGGTAATAGCAACTGAAACAAATTCTGTGGAATTATAATACTTAATATGTACATTTGCCTTTGTAACACATATTACTGCTGTATATTTGACCCTATGACATGTACACATTTGAGTTGAGAACAGGTGGTGGACATTGGTCTGAGAATTGTGACTGCAGACAAACAGTTGTATTTCTTAACTGTCATTTTTCAGTCACTTTCCCTGAATGCAAAGATTCCCCTAAAGTTGTCGGAAGAACACTGATGATCACCCTGAATTCCTACAAATTCACACCAGCACACTGATGGTGTTAGTGACAAATACACCACAATCACTTCCATGACAGCTGCAAAACGTTGCAGCTGAATCCCCCACATCACACACAGTATGAGTCACAAAGATCTCACAGATGCATTTAGAAGAAATAATACATTCGATTATGTCTTATCAAGCTTTATCTTATCTCTCTTCAACATTTCACTTCAGTGTGAGATTTTTCACTGATAAAGGCTTGTTTGATTCTTGAAAAGGCCACTTTTCAGTCAATTCAAAGCACTTTGAATGTTTGGTAATTCAATAAAATGACACAGCACTTTCGGTATGACTGAGTGTGACTCCTACAGTTACACAAGACAGTGTACTCATTTTTATTTACCCTCTTTAACTGGGAGCCTTTGGATTTTTTAATCAGACAGGTCTTTTTAACTTTTAGGTATCCTCATCTACTAAACAAATACACATTTAAACAGTCACTCTTCTTAGGAAATCATGGAATTTTTCTAAGGGTCTGGGCCCAAATTTGTCAAACATCGTGATTTGGGAATTGATTATAAACTAAAAACAGTGCAACCTCCATGAGCTGTTTGACACGGCCACCAGCTGCTTGGAGGTAACTATAACTAGCTCTCCTCCTGCTGATTTCAAGACAGATTTGTTGTCGTTTTGTTTACCTTTCCTTTCTCTCCACATAAACCCCTCTCAGTAGTTTAGTGGTAGTTGAGTGAGCACCAGAGAGCTTTGTTTCCAGCATGTTTCAGGGTTCACGTGACGTCAGATAACTCACCCATCTCCCCCAGAGAGCAGGTAAAGTGTGACAAGCTGGGGAGGGGGGTGCAGAAATAAAGGCCTTTCTGTGATTTAGTAGGCTTTGCTATGTAGTTATGTTGTTGTGGCCTTATTCAGTATTTAATAAAATAATAATTATAGTAATAGTATTAGTGAAAAATAGTAAAAGATAAACGTTTTGATGTTTTTTTTTCTTCCCCCATTTGATGGCGGCGCTCTTAGCATTCGCCTATACTGCCTATGCCACGGGCAGCTCTATTTGTCAGAGCACCGGCTCCTCAGGAACACCATCTTCCTCTAGCTCCTCTACGTACAGCCCAGAATTGTGTCAGTGTCTGCAGTGTCTCTCGGTTTGTTTGTGTCTTCCTCCGACACCAGCGGTCCTCTTTCCTGTGACAACATGACCTCTAGCAGGCTGTTAAAGTGGCGAGCTTACAGCTGTAATAGCATCTGTGGAATGTAACATTATTCCGAGCAACAGGGGAGTACTAATACAAAATAATGTTTCATTGTGTCTAGTCAAGCATCTAACTTCTGATAAGTTATCTTTATTATTAT